GTGGGGAGAGACGGGACTGACGCCTCCCATGGTCCTTCCACATTCCATTTTCGGCCTAGACAGCCTCCTGCAGCACCCTGCTGGCAAAAACAGGTCTTACTCGAGATATCTTGGTAAATCCTTTGAAAATGTAATCTCCAAATTTCAGAGGGCAATGAAATGAAAATGTAATGGGTAGAAGTTCTGAAACCTGGTAAGTTCACATCAATATTAACATTAAAATTAAATTAAATTAAACATCAATACCCAGGAAGATACTGGAAAAGATAATCAAAAACAGATCTGTGAACATCTAGAAACGAGTAAAATAATAACTAGAAGTCAGCATGGGATTGTAAAAACAGATCATGTCAAACTAATCTCATTTTGTTCTTTGACAAAGTGACTAAATTAGTAGATCAGCGAAATCAGTATATTTGGACTTTGGCAAAGCATTCAACAAAGTAGACCACAACTTACTTCTTGGTAAGCTAGAAAAAAGTGGGTTAGATAGCATCACCACCAGATGGATTTGTAACTGGCTGACAAACTGTACTCAACAAGTAGTCCTTAATGGTACAACGTCTACATGGAGGAAGGTAGTGGGGTACCACAAGGTTCCGACTTAGGCTCAGTACTCTTCAATCTCTCTATATAAAAGGCAAATATCACTCACTCATTATCAAATCTCTAGAACTGTAAAGCCTACAAACTTGAAATTTGGCACGTATGTTCCTCTTGGCTTCTAGGTGCTCGCTAAGAAAGGATTTTTTGAGATGACCAGATCATTAGTATTTCATATATAGTATTATATTAACATGCTCTGATGCTAAGGAGTTAGACATTCTACTCCCCCTCCCCACCTGAAAAGAACTCTGTTCCAACTGCCAATTGCCTTATATTAACCTCTCCCCACCTGAAAAGAACTCTGTTCCAACTGCCAGTTGCCTTACATTCCGTTACCTCAGTTCAAACTGGCAGACATTCCACTCCTTCACTCAGGAGCGGTTTGGGGCTTCTTACAGTACTAAACATCGCTACCTCACCAGAATATCTATGCCTTCCACGTATTGAACTGCTTCTGAACTCAAGGTGGTGGGAGAGAACCTCAGATTGATTACTTCAGGGACAAGGTTATGGATCTTGGACCTCAGCTACCCTGTGCCTGATGCTGTGCCCTGGAGTGGCAAGATGAGACTCCCGGGACATGCTGCAGTGGTGGTAAAGTCCAGCTCCCTCCTCTTGAGCCCTACCTTGAACCCTTACACAGCCTTCTCACCCACCAGCATCCAATGGCAGAGCACTTTCTTTCCACTGCCTGGACGTACAACGGATGCTTCCAAATGACGTCTTTTGGGGCCAGAAAGGTGAAGGAAGGAAATTTTATGCCAACATTCAAAGTGCAGGGGCAGGTCTACCACAAGACAGGGAGTATCATGGCGGGGCCTCAGCAACAGCCTTCATTTCTCCAGCTTTGTGTCAATTTATCAAGCCCAATCACATAGTTTCATAGCGAAGCATGGGTATCCAGCTAGTATCTTCATAAACGACTTAGATGAGGGAATAGAAGGGGAACTCATCAAATTTGCAGATGATACTAAGCTAGCAGGAATAGCCAACACCCTAGATGACAGGTTCAAGATCCAGATGGATCTTGATACACTTGAACACTATCTAACGAACAATATCTAGCAAAATGAAATTCAATGTAGAAAAAACTAAACTCTTACACTTAAGCAAGAAAAACCAAAAGTACACATAGAGATTGGGTGAAACAGGCTTAATAACAGTGTGAGAGGGATCTTGGAGTCTCAGTGATCAATCAGTTAAATATGAGCTGGCAGTGTGCAACAGCAGCGAAAAAAGCCAATCTAATCCTAAATTGCTTTAACAAAGGAATTCAATCAAGATCACATGAGGTACTAATACCACTCTATAAAGCCTTAGTAAGATGACACCTAGAATACTGCATCCAGATTTGGTCACCACACTATAAAAAAGATGTTGAGACTCTAGAAAGAATGCAGAGAAGAGCAACAAAGATGATTAGGGGACTGGAGACTAAAACATATGAAGAACAGTTGCAGGAACTGGGCATGGCTAGTCTAGTGAAGAGAAGGACCAGGGATGACATGATAGCAGTGTTCCAATATTTGAGGGGCTGTCACAGAGAGGAGGGGGTTAATTGGAATTTTCCAAAGCACCTGAAGGCCAGACAAGGAATAATGGATGGAAACTGATCAAGGAGAGATTCAATCTAGAAATAAGGAGACAGTGAGAACAATCATTCAATGGAACAGTTTGCCTTCAGAAATTGTGGGTGCTTCATCACTGGAAGCTTTCAAGAAAAAACTGAACAGCCATCTGTCAGAAATGGTATATGGGTCTCCTTACTTGAGCAGGGGGTTGGACTAGATGACCTACAAGGTCCATTCTAACTCTGTTAGTCTATTATCCTATCTCTTTTTCTGCTCTGCTTCAATAAGTCATTCCTAGGTGGTCCCGTGATTTTAATATATGATTACTGTGGTGGGATTACAGGATTTATTTATTTATTAAATTTATATGCCACCCATATTGCCTATCATTGACTAAGTTACTTACAATCATAAGAACAAGCTAAACCATTAAAATTTTAAATTAATATTGACACTATAATAGTTTTAAAATTAACAAGATTGGAAGAGAGTGACATGCACATGGGGAGGAGGTGGAATCTTATCTTAGCCCAAACCTGTCAAACTGGCAGCCTGTGGGCTAGATGTCAGATGCAGGCCACGCCCACCCTGGCTCTGCAAAGGCAAAAAATGTACTGATACGTCATGATCCTGCCTGTGACACAATCGAGGAATTGTGATGAAATCTTGGAGAGAGAAGTTTGATTAGAATTGTATGTGTAACTGCCAAGAACAATGAATGAATGTGTGTGTGTATGCATACACATACACACATACATACATGTTTTCCTTTTTTCTATCTTCTTTTATTAAGATATCTGTGTTCTTTATTGCAAAGCTCTTGGAAATTGCTAACAATTGCTAATTATTTATTAAAAAAGAGATGTTTATAAAAAACAATCTGATGTTTAGAATCTTAAAACATTTTCCAATAACACAATAATTTAGGGCTTTCCTAAACTGCTAACATACAGCTCCAAATTGTGAAGATGTACTTAGTTGTTGCCCATTTGGCATTAAAGAATTAGTAACAATAACTTACTTTTAGCCATCAAAATCTTTTTCCATTAAGGTTCTCCAAAAAAATAGGAAATCACCTGCAATCTTTAAACTGGAATTATCCCAAACCATCAGTTTTATACGTGAATGGAAAATAAATTTAAACTTTCCTCCCAAATCTTTTTTGTGTCTAGCATCTGTTAATGCTGGATAAACAGGTACTGTACATCTCAGATAACCGAGATGGGAGGGGATAACAACTTTCCAGCTCAGCTTTCAAAACATAGTTTAGGTCCAAAATGAAATGGGTATGAAACTGCAGGCCCAATGCAGAAGCTGGAAGAAGATTGTGGTTCACTAAACCCAACACGATTCCAGGCTTCCAATACTAGAAGCCTGTGGGAATCACTCTTGAGGCACATATAAGCACTATTTATGAAGAAAGCTGTTATTGGTCAACCTTTGCTTCATTACCAAACGAAGCCGCGGTTTAAGCGAGATTTGTCTCCAGCCTGCCTCCATCCAGATGGCGGAACAGCATTTGAAGAACCTCCCCTCCTTCTGAACTTCCACTGAACAGGGTGCCCGCCTTTCCTCCTTGCTTCGCCCGCCCTTTGAGGCTGAGTCAGCTCAGCCCCCCCCAAGACATTTCCCTCCTCCCGCTAAAAGGTGTACCAGTTGGCGCAGTACATCTTTTAGCTACTAGGATGCTGTAACCTAACTAATGCTTGGGTTAAACTGGTTTTAGCGTGTTCCTTTGTATAGAGCTGCAAAGCAACTGTCCGATTTGGGGACCCTAAGAGGCTTTCCTTGAACTTGGGTTCCTTTAGACTTTAATTGCTTGCCCTATAAAGGGGATTTAGCTTTCCATTATTTTCTTCAAGCAAGTTTCAAAGCAACCTGCACCGTAGCTGGATTGTTGCTCTGCATCAGATCTTTCCCTTACAAAATGCCTTTGCAACTTGCTCTTTAAATGCAGATTGAGCTGGTTAGGCTGGGAGAAGCAGAGTGTATCATGCAAATTCTATCTCCATGGAGACCATGTGGCTCTGCTTGCTTTGTGCTAAAATAAGCCTTTTTTTTAAATTTTACTACTGATGTAAGCTTTTAAAGCAACATACACACAAAAACTTTGCAAAGGTGATTCAAACATGCAGCCCTGGGCCCCTTTATAGCAGGGCAATCTTCTTAGTTAACACAAGAAACGTCTTTCCTCTTTGTTCCAAGAAAGGGGGGGGGGGTTGGTTATTTATTCTGTCCTTTTACTGCCAGGCACAATACTTTACTCAGTTAAATCGAAATGGAGTTTGGGATGCAAAGAGAAGGAAAGCAGGTTTTGTCACTTCCATGGCTAAGCAAAGGTCTCAAACAAAGTTTTTTTTTTAAGTTGTGCATAGAGAAGAGATGTACTTTTTTCCCCTCTTCACTCAAACAGAATGTCCCTCATTGTTCCAAGAGAAAGAAAGGAGGGGATCTGGCAGTCTATGTCATTTTATTATTCTGTTCCCAAAGCATCTGGCTCCACTGGGAACAGGCAGTTAAACTCTAGCAAACAGGTTTTCATACAGATATAGTTTATTTGGGTATTCTCAAAATCATAGACTTACAATCATAGTGAGATTATTTCATAATCTGTCCCATTCCTAGTGTAAAATGACTGTAGATCTGTCCCCCTATTCAGAAAGCGTGCTTCTCTCTTCTGTGGCAATTCATAATGCCGGGCTTTGTTCTACACCCCAGGCAGAGAGCCTCAGTGGCCAATCAGACACACAGATGTCATGGACTACATTTCCTATGATGCAATCTCTCTCTACATCTCCCACAATGCAATCTCTTAAGGAGACAGCTCTTAATTCTTAAGGTAACTAATTCGCTATCATTCACCATCTGAACAGCACAGGGATTGGCTCGTTTGACACGTCCTCGGGAGTAAGTATTGGCTTCTCCGTATGCAGCAGGGGGGAACTGGTGGCGGGCATAATGAGAGGTTGTTAAGTCGCCTGGGAGTGGGCAGTTAACACCAACATCCGTGTCTTTGCATTACCGGTTTACCTACTGTGGACTCAATCATTGCTTTCTCAACCTAGTTTTCCGAGTACCCGTAATACAGTGAACCACCAATGGTCTGGGTTTAAGCAAGATGAAAACCTTTGTGGTTCAGAGAGAACGTAACTGATTCTTGAATTTAAAGCGCATTGAAGAAACTATGTCCATTTCTTACATAAGTGTCATTGCCTAAATATGCAGTCCAAATGTAAGCTGGTTTATTATTTTGGAACACTTAATTAACTATTGACAAATTGTGTTTTTACCTGATTGAATTGACCCATTTTCTGGATTTGCCATTGAACCGTAAACTAACCAAATAGGTAGCGTCAGATAGTTAACTATCAGATTTGTCCTTTTCTACAAATGTTTTACATACGTCCTGAAATCCAAAACTGGCTGAATTGCTCAGGAAAGAAATCTTCAGTTTCCCACACTCAGTGTGCTATAATTGTGAAAAAGGGCATATTCAATATTGGGAAATTACAGATTAAACAATTTGTTAATTAAATACAGTTGCTGTAAAGTGCTCAAATTGGTCAGCTAATTGGGTCCAGAGAAGATGAAGTCTCATCTTGCAAAGTTATGAGTTTGATACTGTGAATCTTGTGTAGAGGGTCCTCTGTAGTACAAGTAAATTTTGCTTAGAGACACAATTGCAACCCACAACTTGTAATGTTACTTCCACATTCTCCATTAATTTTGCTTGTCGGAATCCACTTAGGAAGCACACAAATAATAATCATGTGACTGTGGAACACAGTGACAATTATAAATGTGAGAATTGGTCACAAAGCTGCAGGGTTTTTTTTTTTTACACCATTGTAATTTTGAATGGTCTCTAAATGAGGCAATCAGTAAGTAAGGACTGCCTGCTTACCTGTATCAGCTCCCTATAGTGTACAACCCTCCTAGTTAATAAAGGCCTCCAGGGAGATGACAGAAAGCTGAATCAGAATGGTAGTAAATCTATCCTTCAGAGAAGGAATTAAACATTTTCTTTGAAAAAGGGGTAGCATGCCTCCTCCGGAAGCCATCACTCAACTGATAATTATTATCAATCTCCAGCTTCTTTTGGGGCAAGTTATACAGCAGGTTTTTGCCCTGAACTTGAAATCCCTGGAGAAGCAGATTATCTGGACCCATTTCACTTTTGGCTCAGCATAGAAAAGGCATTGTTCTCCTTATCAGTGATTTCTGGTGAGACAGGAAAGTGATCATTCTGATCCTACTTGATTTCAGCAGCTTTCAATACCTTCTTGTTATCATTCTGTCATTCTCTAAGCATCAGGAATGGGGAGTGTTATATTACATAGTTCTCATTCCTGAAGGGATAGAGGCAGTTGTGAGGGCAAAGTTGAGCAATGGACCCTTCCATTGATGATTACTGTAGGACTTGATATGATCCTTATTCCTATTCGACATGAAATTAGTCTGAACAGGGTTGTGCTTCCCAGTTGTTCACAATTTGAAGATCTCAAAGAGCAGGTGGCAGCTGTGGGAAAGAGGGCCTTTATATATAGTAACTCCATCTTAAGCAGCAATTGTCTGGGAAAGCAGGCAGGCATTAACTCTGTGTCACTTGTGCCTTGGTCACCTCTCAGTTGGACTGGTTCAATACACTGTACATGGATCTGCCTCAAGGAACATTGAAAACTACAGCTGGCCCAGATTGCAGCAGCTCAGATGTTGATGATATACTTCAAGCCAACCACATAACAATTCTGAGGAAATGGAATGCAGAAATTAACAGTAAGATGCTGGGTACAATTCAGAGTGCTGATTGTCAAATTTAAAGACATTCCTGATTTAAGCTGCTTTTTCCCTGTAAAGTCTGCCCACCCCATATGATTCAGTAGGAGAAACTAGTTACACGTCCCCATGAGTAGAGATTATCACCATCAGGAACCACAGAAATGTTCCTGTTCAGACACTGCTCTCTCCTCTGGAATACTATATCGCCACCCCAATGTTGGATAAGACACTTTACTACTGTTTTTTATGAAGCTTGCCTTTGGTGAAAAGATTGGAATTCTGTTAAAGTTTTACTTGGAACTCATAGTTTCATAGGAATATTTTTAGTTATTTTTTATCGATTACATTAGGGAGTTATACTCTGTTAGGAGTTGGCAGAGTAGATCAGTAAGTTCTGTAAATAAGTTCTTTTTAATGATAAAAATAGGCAATTGACAGCATATTTATTGACATATATTTCTTATTTTTCTGTGGGGTTTTCTCTCCACTAGATGATGAGATTATCTAATAATTATGAAATTATCAAAGTCTGAAAGTTTGTCCCAAATCACTGGTGTATATGCGCATATACTGTAGTAAAATTGTTGTTTTGAAATGCCACAATCTCTTGTTCTTTTGCTCAATATCTAGTGTTAATCTAGCTTTCTAACACAATCAACTTGACCTTGACACAGAGACAAAATAAGAACATCACTTGATTCTGAGTGAAAATAACTTGAAAAAAATAATAGTCTACCAATTTTTCTTGGCTTATTTGCTAGGATATTCAGAGCTTTGTTACTTGTGATTGAAGTAAGAGTACAATATTAGTATTTCTATTAATGTTAGTGTTTCATGTATTTTGATTACACAATCCAAGAATCTATGAAATAAATTAAATGGCAGTTTTGGCAGTTTTGTCCAAAAATTGGTTGATTAAAAAAAAAAAGGAAAAACTTTTTGTGATAGATATTGCACGTTCCAAAGGCTAATTGTTCCCTGAACCACAATCAAAACCACATTAGTGGTATGCTTTTTCATTGATTTTTTTAATGTATTTTGCATCCAAAATCTACCAGAAATAGAACTTTTATCATTTGTCTTTAAAAATCACACTTGCCTGTACTAATTGCAATGAAAAGTATTTACCAAAATGGCACCAAATATGTTGAATATCCATATTTATTAAATATACTTTGCATTCTGGGAAAATTAAAAATAAATTGGTGACTCACATGAAAAATATAAAATAAATTCTATACAAAAATAAAAACACAAGAACAATACTATAGTGCTGTAAGAACAGACTATCTAATAATGCGCAGAGCAGGGATGGGTTCTACTTACCTTTACTATCAGTTTGCAATGGGGCCGCGCACACCTTGCTTCGCTCGCACACACGCACGCTCTTCTGCACATGCGCAGAAGACGTCAGGGTTGGTGGGCGGAGCCTCCCACCGGTTTTACTACCGGTTCTATAGAACCGGTGCGGACTGGGGGCAACCCACCACTGGTGTAGAGGTGCTAGGTCTAATCCCAGTTCCTCACTTACGATTTATTAGGTTCTTTCTCATGAGTGTGTAACAAGCATTTTCCTCAGGGCTTATATATGTTACATAGCCCTCATGAGTACTGTTATAATTATTTATTAATAAATTAATTAAATTTATACAGCTGCCTATTTCAAATTAATGGGGATTTACTGTAGGGCAAATTAGGAAAAGTGACTGATATATTTGCTTTATTTTATTTTCCACATCCCTGAAAATTTCACTATTCGGCAGGAAAAAAGTCCACCTGTTCTGCTCCCAAATGTGGGCTAGGAAAATTTTGATAGATGTCTAGACCCATAGATTTAGGCATTTGTCAAAATCTGGTATTGAGACTGCTGAGCTGTGAGCCACATGGGAGTTTCCTGATACCATAAAGCAGGAGTAGAGAGCATATAAATTAAATTAATAAATAAAATAAATATTAATTTTTGTTTAATCAGTCCCTAGAACAGGAGAGGAGCTGGAAGTTCTGCAATGAAGGAGAACCTCTTCCTTTGCATCAAAATACTTCCCTCCAAATGAAAATACAATTTGGTCTTTACGTCAAAGCCAAGAATCTTTTTACAGGTAGTCCTTGACTTACAACTATCATGAAGCCTGCCAATTAACAGTCATAAGCCATGAAGGTTATAGTGTGAGTCATCATACGACCAACACAGTTTTATGATCTTTTTTGCAGCAGACATTAAGCAAACGCCACAGTCATTGCACAAGCCTATTGTTTGCTATGAGGCATTTTTGCTGAAAACTGGAAGCAAATGATGATTTTCAGCAAAAACTTTGTAAATCATAATCATGTCACCACAGGGTACTTGAAATTGCTGTAAATATTGTTCAGTTGATGGTCTCCCAAAATATGATCATGTGACCAGCTAACAGAAATTTGGAATGGGATCATAAGTATCCTTTTTTGAGGGAGGAGGGGCTGTTGTGACTTCCAGCAGTTGCTAAACCACTAGTTATAAGTCAAGTTAGTCCTCGATTTACAACAGTTTATTTAGTAACCATTCAAAGTTACAACAGCACTGAAAAAAGTGACTTATGACCGTTTTTCACACTTAACAATTTTTGTAGCACCTCTATGATTATGTGATCAAAATTCAGATGCTTGGCAACTGACTCATACTTATGACCATTGCTATATCCCAAGGTCACGTGATAACATCTTGCGACTTTCTGACAAGCAAAGTCAATGAGGAAGCCAAATTCACTTAACAACTGGGTTACTAACTTATCAACTGCAGTGATTCACTTAACAACTGTGGCAAGAAAGGTCATAAAATAGGATAAAACTCACTTAAATGTCTCTCTTAACAACAGAAATTTTGGACTCAATTGTGGTCCTAAATCGAGGACTACCTGTATATTAATTTCAATTGTCTTTTCCTTGCCCATATTAGATTAATTAATATCAGTGGATGGTATAATATAAAATAATGGTAATTATTTTATAAAATTCATATACATAATTAAGCCAAATTTTTAATAAAATTCTAGTACTCAATTTTGTCTTATGCTGAGGTCAATGTAATATATGCATCCCACACCTGTGTCAGCATGTTGCATGCTGCAGGCCCTGTCAGACAAGGAATACTGGCTGGCGGGGTCCAGGAGATGGGTCTCTGCCGTGGCGCCTGCCTTTTCGAACCTCTGATCTCCTGCAGTGAGATAGGCCCCACCCTTTTGAACTTCTATAAGAGCCTGAAGACGTGGTACTTCTAGATGGCCTGGGAGACCCAACAGGAAGCACAACAGGTTGTGAATCCCACCTCCCCCTATGCATCCTGCTCCCTCCGTCCCCATCTTTTAACTATAATTCTATTTTTGATTGTAATTTCCATTTTTATTGTTTTAGAAATACTTTGTCTTTTTTTATTTTAATACTGTTAATACTGTAAACCACCCAGAGTCGCAAATAAATTAATAATTTAATTAAACAAGCAAAGAAAGAAATAATCAAATAAATTAATTACATGAACTGTCTATCTCAGGAATCACTATTGGCTTTGTGTTGGCTTCACTCCAATCCCCTCAGTCCCCATATTCCTCCCTGCTTTATTTCAGGCCTGCTGCATTTTCTGAGGCAGCTACCCTGGCACAGCTGAGCAGTTCTGGCCAGGTTTGAACACCTCCTACTTGGTGCTTGACCAGGGGTGAAATCCAGCAGGTTCTGACAAGTTCTGGAGAGCCAGTAGCAGAAATTTTGAGTAATTTGGAGAACTGGCAAATACCACCTCTGGCTGGCCCCAGAGTGGGGTGGGAATGGAGATTTTGCAATATCCTTCCCCCCAGGAGTGGGAAGGGAATAGGGATTTTGCAGTATTCTTCTCCTGGAGTGGGGAGGGAATGGAGATTTTGCAGTATCCTTCCCCTGTCATGCCCACCAAGCCACACCACGCCCACAGAACCGGTAGTAAAAAAATTTGAATTTCACCGCTGTGCTTGACCCTGGCAGTCTGGAGGCATCCTGAATTAATTCCTTCCCAGCGGTCTTTTCCCATATGATGGAGCCTTTGTGAAGAATAATCAACCCATACAAGCCATCTTCTATCACCTGATAGGTTTGAAAGAGCTAAGGATTGATACTTGAGGACAAAAGCAGTGGGTACTACACAGTCACTGCAAAGAAATGTGCACAATTTCCCCAAAGAATTTCTGTAACTTCTACCAAATACATCAAGTGTTTAAGCAGTTTTAGAGGTTTTATGTGAAAAAGCAAAGTAACATGTCCATCCACCTATAGTAAAATGTATTCTGTTATAAATCACATATAATAATATGAGAATCCACAGCTGCATTGTGATATTATGTTATCAAAGAGGGAGTATGCTGTTGTATATACACGTCATTGAGCAGAATCCCATTGAGCTTATTCTGAGTAATATATGATTGCATGGTAATTGGGTTTCTTGATTCTGGCAAGTAAATTATGTGCTATTGTCTTTTACAAATCTGTTGTGAGTGAGCATGGTGTAAACAGCAGTGTTGATAGGACTCATTAAAAACTGATTTATTCATAAGAAGATTGATTCTTTCCTAGAAACACAGCACATCTGTATGTATTTACTAAATTACCTGATATTGGGGGGAAAGTTTTGAAATCAACTGCAAAATTATCCTTTAATTTTGAGAAAATTAGAAAAATAAGTTTAGTGAATTATTTTTTTATATCAAGATGCCTCATCAACTATCCTTGCTTACTGAGCTCAGTAGCACTTGAAGTCTAATTCTATAACCTTTGATATTATTGCTAAAGCGTCTCTTTCTCCAGCATAGTTATAAATAAATTCTCATTTTTAAAATCAACCTATTCAGATATGTTCAGGATGACAAATAATATTGCTAAATCTGAATGGTTACGCAGTAAACTTAATAACAATGAAGGGGAACCTCATTTTTCTTCTATCCATGCAAAAATACATTAAAATCTCTAACCTGCTTTTTTTTTTTTTTTTTTGCATTCACACTTTGCTTTGTTATATAGGAGTATTTCTTTAATTCTCAATATAGATGAGAACATACTGAAATTTAGGGCAACTAAATGGATTTCTCTTTTCAGCAAAAATAATAGTACAACAGGAAGGTAGTTTACCATAGGTAGTTTAAAGGCTGTGCTGTTAGACCCCTTACTAGTGTATTCTGTATTTCAGATCTTTTGTTACTTGCAGAGAATGCTCATAAAATAAACAAAAAGGTACACATTAATTTATTTTTGTGGCTTTTAAAAAGCAGAAACTAACAGAAGTTACATGGCTCATATCTGACATCATGCACCACCGGTGGCTGCTGTTAGCTGCATGCTTTTGGGTAATATTCATGTTCATGGTTGCTAGCAAGTTCATCACATTGACCTTCAAAGATCCTGATGGTAAGTTGATCCAATTTTATTCTTATTAATGCAAGTAATCGCTGAACAATTTTTGTGTCCAAAACAAAGTGAGAGAATTTAAACAGATCTTCTAGTTTTGTTTTTTCTTACCCATTCATATTTTCATTATGTTGACTTCAAAATAAATCTAAATGATTATGTAGCTTGCCTGTGAGTTGCAACAGTGAAATACTTAATGTAGGTGATTCCCATTTTTTCTTGGCTTTTTCTGTCTATCTAGGAAAATGAAAGTGAAACAAAGATTTGATAGAATTTTAATTTTATATAGAAAGGTACAGATACTGATTTTGACATATCTGAGTATTTTGTGTATTGTTCCTTTTCAATTTAACCTATAATACTTGAGCAGTTATGTCCTGTCCTGTAGGGAAGGTTTTTGCTTAATTCTATTACCGTAGATCCGTGACGGCGAACCTATAACACGGTTGCCACAGGTGGCACATGTAGCCATATCAGTGGGCATGCCAGCTCAGCTCTGGCGTGCATGCGTGCGCCAGCCAGCTGATTTTTGGGTCTTCTGGGCCCACCAGAAGTAGGGAAACAGGCTGTTTCCTGCCTCCGGAAGGCCTAGGGAGTGGGTGGGGAAGCCCGTTTTTCTTTCTTACCTGGCTCCAGATCTCTCTATTTATCTGGGAAGGGCGAAAACAGCCTTTCTCATTCCCTGGGAGGCCCTCCGGAGGCCTGAAAGGGCCCATTTCCCAACTCCCATTTTTTGCTGTACCCAGCCTCCAGAGACTCCTAGAGAGGCCTCTAGAGCAGCGGTTCTCAACCTGGGGGTTGCAACCCCTTTGGGGGTCGAACGGCCATTTCACAGGGGTCGCCAAAGCCCTCTCTCACCCCCCCCACGCCTTCACTCACCCTCACTCTCTGCTCTGTTGGATCGCCGGCCGTTCGCTTACCCCGCCCACTCCCAATCTATTGCTGCCTCCTGAGTCCCAGCTGATGGCTAGAGGAAAAAAAAACTGTTTAAATTCTTGCCCCGCCCCTCCGCACCACTATTTATTGCCAATTTATTGCCAATAAATAGTGGTGGGTGAGGGGCGGGCGAGCCAGCAATTTAACAAATGGTTCGGTGTTTTTTTGTAATTTTATTGGCCCGCGGAGCTTCAGCATAGGCTAATTAGCCCTTGATTAGATGGGCTCCCGACTCTCAGCTGATTTGCTCTCAGCTGTTTTGCTCAGGGCTCTGCTGCTTGCTTGCAAAGAGTGCTGATTTTTCCCCCCCTAGCTATGCTGAAAAAGGAAACTGAAAGTAAAGCAGGCTGTTGGCTTTGCTATTGCTGCAACTTTTGAAAATTAGGCAGGCAGATTTCTTTTCTTTTTCCTCACCAAAAAAGGTAGGTGCAAACAATGGGAAATTTAGGGAAAAAGAGGAGAGTTCAAGATTTTAAAACACAAAAGAAAAAAAGCTCTATTTAACTAGGGAATTGTAATAATTGAGATACTATTAATTGTATATTTCTGAAAGCAGAAATGGTTAAGTTGTGGTTTGCAGGAATATATGGGGGAAATTATTTGGTTTATTATTATTGGTAAATAAAATTAATTGATTTGTAAGAAATTGGATTGCATGGAAATAATTGGAATATTCATGTTCATATTGATTAATATACAAAAAAGGTAGTTATATAACTAATTGATTTATATTAAAATGTTGAATTTGTATTAAACAACTGTAATATTACATAATTAACCAATGTGAGGATGGATATAAAAATAGATGACAATGGGAAGGGGTATAATATAGAATAAAAGGGAAAAATTGAATTTGATTAAGATTAGAGATGAGGATGAAGGGTAATATTGGTTTTTTACAAAAAATAGATGAGGAATAAATATGGCAAAAAGGAAATATAGAAATGGTAAATTTAATTGAAATGACTAAACACTGTTTAAATTTGTGAACCGGCCAAATACTCTGTTCAAAGAAAATACATTGTATGTTTGTATGTGTGTTTCTAATTATTGTTATTTATTCATATTTGTTCTCTTTTATTCTTTAAAGTTTAACAATTCATTCTTTATCTTAATACCTTTATATTTGTTTGGGGTTGGCTTTCTTCCCTTTCATCTTTTTTATTGTACAGCAATCTTTCTCCTCAAACCTACCACCTCTCTCTTTTCTTTCCTTCTTACTTTCTCTTCCTCCCCCTCTTCTTCTCCTCCCTACTTCCTCTTCCTTTCTCCTTCTCCTCCTCTCTTACTCCCTCTCTTACCCTCCTTCCTACTCTAATTTCCCTTCCCTTCCTTCATCCCTGCTGTATCCTTTTATCCATATGGACTACTCAGAGGGCTGAAAAAGTTATTTCTGACTGGTCCTCGCACTTTTGACCAGTCCTCGAACATACGACTGTCCTCATATTTTACGTTTTTGCCCTATCTTGTCACCATGGTGAAGAGAAGCAGTTGTGAAATGAGTGACATGGTTGTTAAGAATGCTACAATGGGCATAAACGATGACCAGTCATAAGTGCGAAGACCGGTCAAAAGTGTGAGGACCTGTCAGAAATCACTTTTTTCAGCCCTCTGGGTAGTCCTTTTGTGCATATGGACTACTCAGAGGGCTGAAAAAATTATTTTTGACTGGTCTTCGCACTTTTGACCAGTCCTCGAACTTACGAGTGTCCTCACATTTTACGTTTTTGCCCTATCTTGTCACCATGGTGAAGAGAAGCAGTTGTGGAATGAGTGACATGGTTGTTAAGAATGCTGCACGGGCATAAATGTGAGGATGGTCATAAGTGTGAGGACCAGTCAAAAGTGCGAGGACCTGTCAGAAATGACTTTTTTCAGCCCTCTGAGTAGTCCCTATACACATAGCCATGGCCACCCGGTCACATGACCAGCTAGCCACACCCACCCAGTCACATGACCTCCAAGCCACGCCCACAAAGTAAGCCACGTCCACAGAACCGGTAGTAAAAAAATTTAGAACCCACCCCTAGTTGGGGGTCACCACAACATGAGGAACTGTATTAAAGGGTTGCGGCATTAGGAAGGTTGAGAACCACTGCTCTAGAGGCTGGGGACAGCAAAAAATATCACTTCCTGTCCCACCCGGAGTTCGGAAATGGGTCATTTCAGGCCTCCGGAGGGCCTCCGAGTGAATGGGAAAGGCTGTTTTTGCCTTCCCAGATGCATAGAGAGGATCTGGAGCCAGGTAAGAAAGAAAAACCAGCCTACCGGGCCATTGCATGCCAGAAGCTGGAGGGGGGGGAAGGGAGGTTGCGCGTGCATGTGCAGGACGCATAGAATTATGGGTGTGGGCACACACGCACGAATCTCCCCCACCCCTGCTCTCCTGGCACACCATGGCAAAAAGGTTAGCCATCACTGCTGTAGAGACTTCTATCCCTGTTCCCTTTCACAGACTAGGAGAATGGTCTTAATTCATTAGAAACACTATACCAATCTTCCAATCAACTTTGCAACACTTACATGATTTTGTGAGATTTCCCTTTTTTATGCTCCTCCCTAGTCTAAAATTCAGTCCTTGAGGTAAAAATGACATCTTTTCAGATTTGGTTTAAGAAACAGCACAAACATAACTGTCTGAGAAGATGGGGAGTACTGTATTGTCTCAATGCATGTAGGTGACAAGTTTGGAGAATCTGGTTTACAGAGGTCATTACACTAAGGTTTGCCAAATCATGTAACTTGTTTTTTTAAATAATCTGTATTCTGTTTAAAATCTTGAATTACAGCCTGATTTGAAGTGTGATTTAATTATAATTATATAGTTGTGATCAATCAAATAATTTATGCAGTACGAAGGAAAAAAAGTTTGCTTTTGTTCAGTTGTTTTGTTTTCTTCATCTAGTTCATGGTGCCAAGCAAGAGCCAGTAATACCAACAACTATAACTGAAGGAAAAGATCACATAACAAAAGAGAAGAGGCTGCCGGGACAGTTTCAGGTATATTAAAGGGACAGGTTGAAAGGCTAAATAAATTGTATAGTTGCAGAGTTCTCTATGTCATATTTCATTGTGTTATATTGTAACTGGTTCTTCTAATCAGTCAGCCCAATAGTATAGAGATTTATGAGCAAAGCATCACTGTAGCCATCTGTACTGCCTTCTGTTCAAAAGCAATTTTCTCTTGCTTTATTGTCCAGGAATTGCGGAGTTTTATTTTTAAAAACTATTTTGGTATTGTTTTATGAATTAAAATTTTGTTACATTATTTGGTTATATTCATATTTTAAAACAACAATATTTTATATTTTTGTATATAATTGGGGATACATTCCTAAGTATATTTATCTGGGAATCTGTTGAACATAATAACAGATTATAATAACAATAATCTGGAGTACCACTTTCTGTACCAGCTTTTAGAACACATTTAGAAGTTCTGTAAGTTTCTAAATTGTACTTCAGTTTTTCATTTAAATTTTAAAATTTAAACACTACCACTGTGCAACATTTTTGCATACTTTTTATTTTTAATCAGTAAAGTGAACACCATCTTCCTTTTTCTTTCTATGGTCAAAAAAAATATTCATTCATTTTAGTCCACAGTTAGAATATTGTTTTGTTTGTGTTCCCCATTTATTTGTAAATTCAATTTCTAAAATTTGATTTTGTTTCCTTACTGCTGAAATCAAATTACTTTGCATCAGCTTGACTGAAACGGCTATTTCAAAAGAGAGTAATACTGCGATACTGACCTTTAGAAACCTTGTACAGGTAGTCCTCAATTTACGACCACAATTGAGCCCAAAATTTCTAAGCAAGACAGTTGTTAAGTGAGTTTTGCCCCATTTTGCAACCTTTCTTGCTACAGTTAAATGAATTACTGCTATGGTTAAGTTAGTAACAGTTGTTAAGTTAATCTGACTTCCTAATTGATTTTGCTTATCAGATGGTTGCAAAATGTGATCACATGACCCTGGGACACTGCAACTGTCATAAATACATGCCAGTTGCCAAGCATCTAAATTTTAAATCATGTGACCATGAGGATGCTACAAAGATCGTGTGAAAATGGTCCTAAGTCACTTTTTTCAGTGCCGTTGTAATTTTGAAAGGTCAGTAAACAAATGGATGTAAGTCAAGGACTACCTGAATACATTTGAAATGCTAAATTTTCTTGTATGAGTTGAACATTGAAATGCAAAATAATTTTTGTTCTTCTCTTCTGCCATCCCAATCCATTTTCATATCAAGACAATAGGAAAAGGTCTATCTGAAGACCTTGTACATGAAGGCCTGGTCCATATAGAGAGGCTTGAACTACTCAGGAATGTCTGCCAAGATGCATCTCTGAAAAACCTCACCCATACTACTGTTTCCAAATTTGTTTTGGACCGAATTTTTGTATGTGACAAGCACAAGATCCTCTTCTGTCAAACTCCAAAAGTTGGCAATACTCAGTGGAAGAAAGTCTTGATTGTTTTAAATGGTATTTAGTTAACTTTTAAAGTCTCAAATGTGTGTTTGCAAAAAAAAGATTTCAAAAATTTCTAACAGCAAAATATAAAAATAATATGATTCAGTGGAATACATTTTTATTTTTGGCATCTTATATTTTGCTTGAAAGTTGCTTCCAATATCCTAGCCCAGTTCTAGCTGTTCTGCTTAGATGTGTTATTGCCCACCCAAAGAACTTTACATATATAATAGACTTCCTGTCCTGGTTGTTTTGTGAATTGATTGTGTGCTGGGAATAATAAAGGAGAAATTATGCTAACCTTTTAAAGTTAGACAACTAAGGCATCACAGGTACCTTAAATTTAAATTTTTAATTTAAAGCTCTCAGGATCCCAGAATGCTTCATGACATAAAATTTTATCAAAATGCAGCTTTGAGATAAGGGAGGAAGAAAAGGATGATTGCAAAAATGTTTGCAATTTATTTCCATATTTTAATCTCTACTGGAAAATAATGGTCTCCATGGCTGAAATTAATAAAAATCAATAGTTTAAATGTGTATATCCATTTTTTTAGAATTGAGCAATTAAGTTTATTACTTGAACCTAACACCATCTTTAGGGAATATATACACTTTTTTCTTGTAGAATGTTTGTTCGATTTTATTTTAAATCACATGAACAGTAGCACATCTACCTCAGACAGACAAAGATATAGATATAGATGGGTGTCTGCTTTATCTGTTATCACATTTTCATTGAATCCATTTTGAATTATTGGTAGCATTTAGTTCAGGGCAAATTATAATAAAAAGATAAAATAGTTTGTAAAAATAACAAACACCAAGAAACCACTATAAAACAGAGTAATAAAATTTTAATTTTTTTATTTTTTTTAAATTAGATTTATATGCCGCCCTTCTCCGGAGACTCAGGGCGGCTTACAATGCGTTAAGCAATAGCCTTCATACTTTGTATCTTTTATACAAAGTCAGCTTATTGCCCCCACAAACTGGGTCCTCAATTTACCTACCTTAGAAAGGATGGAAGGCTGAGTCAACCATGAGCCTGGGGAGATTCGAACTTGCAATAATTGCATACAGCTGAATGTTAATAACAGGCTTTTAGTCTGTTGAGCTATCCAATTTATTTTAGTAGCACCTTTGATTTTAATATAAAACAAAGTAGGCAGTGAGACAGATTCAACTCTACTACATTATAAAATCAGCTCCATTTCATGTGGATATTATGTGAAAGACAATATTGCTTTGAATAATTTGACTTCAGGGGCTATAATTAAAATATTGTAATTAAGGTCTTCTGTTGATGGAATTCTTTCTGACAATGGACCTAAATAGGTCCACTCAGAGTCTGTCTTAAAAGTTGGAGACCCTTTGGAGCAGATAGGATGACAAGAGATCTGTTATTACAAGTAAAGGAAAAGAAAGTCCTAGTGTACAAACAGATTTCTACAATATTAGATTTTGGCTTAAGGACAGGCCAAACTTGCTAAACTATCTGCATGCTTATACTCTGGCTTATATATTTTTCAGGTATAAGGCTGTAATGGAAAGTTACACGTAACTCCCATAACTCCATCCCAACAATGCCCTTGAAGTGATGTCCCGGTGCCTGGAGGCCGTGCGGACCTGGATGGGGAGTAACAGGCTTCGACTCAACCCTTCCAAGACCGAGTGGCTGTGGCTTCCAGCATCCCGATATAGCCAGCTGGTACCATCGCTGGCTATTGGGGGCGAGTTATTGGCCCCCACGGATAGGGCTCGCAACTTGGGTGTCCTCCTGGATGCACGGCTGTCTTTAGAAGAGCATATGACGGCCGTGGCCAGGGGGGCTTTTTATCAGGTCCGCCTGATTCGCCAGTTGCGTCCCTTTCTGGATCGGGACTCCTTACGCACAGTCACTCAGGCGCTCGTCACTTCCCGCCTGGACTACTGCAATGCTCTCTACATGGGGCTCCCCTTGAGGAGCACCCGGAGGCTCCAACTGGTGCAGAATGCAGCCGTGCGGGAGATTACGGGAGCGACGGGGCGCTCCCATGTGACACCTCTCCTGCGTGAGCTGCATTGGCTTCCAGTGATCTTCCGGGTGCGCTTCAAGGTGTTGGTTACCACCTTTAAAGCGCTCCATGGCATGGGACCTGGGTATTTGCAGGACCGCCTTCTGCCGCCGATAGCCTCCCACCGACCAGTACGCTCCCACAGAGAGGGACTCCTCAGGGTGCCGTCAGCCAGGCAATGTCGGCTGGCGACCCGCAGGGTGAGGGCCTTCTCTGTGGCCGCTCCTGCCCTCTGGAACGATTTGCCCCCCGAGATACGAAGGATTTCGGATCTCCGGGTTTTTCGCCGTGCCCTAAAAACTTTTCTTTTCCATCAACCCCTCCCCCCCCTTTTAGTCTTTTTTAGCTTTTAAATTGTTAGATGGGTTTTAGTTTTCAATGTTTTACATTTTTTTGGGCCACAGTTATTTAATTCTTTTAATAATTTTAAATTTTGTATTGATATGTGTTTTAGTTCTGGCTGTGCACTGCCCTGAGTCCACTAGGAGAAGGGCGGGATATAAATTGAATAAAATAAATAAAATAAATTAACTCTGTGGGTAGTATGAAATCAGGGAAGTGGCTAATCACATGTCAGAATTAGGAATCTAGCTTTCTGCCCACATCTAAAAAAACTAGTACAACTGACCAGTGTATTTTTGGATCCAGCTGTTGCAGTTCCAGATTCAGCAATTGGTCAGATAAAATACCTTCCACACATAGAATGTTATAATCTGGCATGCTGACAGCTGAAAGGGATTAATTACTCCAATATGCAGACTCCAGGAGTCTTTGAACAGAAACCCTAGATTGTCGCAACACAGTTACATGGAGACTTGTGATGAAAACAATTCATTGAGCTTTCCATTTTTTAAAGAGCAATTTGGGGTTCAGGCCTGGATTGTAGGAAGATGAGAACTTAATAATAATATCAGGACATGGAGACTGGACCATAAAGTAGAAAAGTATTTCATAAGTACTTGATGACTACATTTTCATGAAGTCACCAAAGCCTGATTTGTCTTTACTTTTTTACCTAATAACAAATAAATAATCATGACAGCCACTAGTTTAGATCATAATGGGAATGGACTGAAAGGTGCCATTGTAAGAGCAAGTTCTAACTTATTTCCTCAGGAGCTTTTCCTTCCATCGATGAGATCCCTGAAAACATTGTACATGACCATGAGAAGAATGGTCTTCCACGCTTATCTTCCTTCAGTGATTCTGAAATTAAAAAAAGGTAAGTAGTATTTTAATGTGTCTTTGAAAACTCTTTCCATTATAAAAATCTCATTTTTGATCATTTGTGCAGTTTATGATTATTTATTTAAATGTATTATAGCTGCCCACTCCCATAGACTCTTAAATAGAGGCAATAATCAAAAAAGATTTTACAGGTAGTCCTTGATTTACAACCGCAATTTGAGCCCAGAATTTATGTTGCTAAGTGAGAAATTTGTTAAGTGAGTTTTGTCCCATTTTACAATTTTTCTTGCCACAGTTGTTAAGCGAATCATTATAGTTGTTAAGTTAGTAACACAGTTATTAAGCGAATCCCCATTGACTTTGCTTGTCAGAAGGTTGCAAATGGGGACCATATGATCCCAGGACACCGCAACCGTCATAAATATGATACCAGTTGTCGAGCATCTGAATATAAATCACTTGACTATGGGAATGCTGCAAGGATCATAAGTTCAGTGGGTCATAATTTCTGTTCAGTGATAGAAGTTGATTGTGCACTTCTTGGAACATAGGTGTGAAACATTGTCATAAGTCACTTTTTTCAGTGCTGTTGTAAATCTAGAACTACCTGTATTACAGCTTTGGATGATGATCTGTGTTGTCCCTGTATAGGCTCACGGTTATATAAAAAGCATTAAAATTGTAGTAAAGACCAGTTTTCTATAAAATTCCATTTGTTATTTTTGCATGTCGCATCTTGACTTTAGAAGAGAGAGTATAGCTGTAAAGTACTTCTTTGGAATTTCTAAGAAATCATGTGGAAGCAAGGACGGAGTTGACTACACACAAAAAAGACACCTTTACAAGCAATAGTTCTGTGAAAACAAACCAAGTGATGGTTACAGTTACTACTTCATTTTTTAAAAATAATAATTCTTAATCTTGATAATAAATGTTATTCATAAGTGGCCTTGATAGCATTTGCATCTTTAAAAATAAGTTATAATTCTGAAAAAATAATTTGAGTACAAGAAATCTTTGTTTAGTTGCTACAAATGGGACTAGTAAGATCATAAATGTGAGGATTGATCATAAAGTTACTTCTTTATCACTGTCATAATTGTAAATAGTCGCTAAATGAAGCCATCAACTAAGCAAGGATTACCTGTATAGTCTTAGGAGCAGGACTAGAAGAAAAAATATATGTTGACATTGTCATCTCTTTAAATAGACTTTTAAGGACTCTATTTGTATAATTTGATTTGATTTGATTTGATTTCATCTCTATCTTTATTTTTTGCTATTTTTTTGAAATAGGCAGCCATTTTAGCAGGTGCATTCCACATTAAGTGAACAGATTTCTGTTCAGTGATTAGAAGTTTATTGTGCACTTCTTGGAACAGATTTACAAGACATACAACATTGAGTAAATCCTGCTGACAGATTCCTGTCAGATTCTTTGGCCATTGCCTAACAGTGGCCAAACAGTGCCTTGATTCTTTCAAAACAATATTCTCAAGAAGCTCTCTTTAACAAGATTTATTGAGAAGAAAAGGATAGTGTTGTAAGAATTTCAACATTCTGCATTTAGTACCAATAGATACCTGCATGAAAGACACAAACTCCTCAATTTGCTTTCTAAGATCCTTCCTGTAATCCTGCAAGGAGGTAGATCTTTTATTTAAAATGGAAAAGCTAGCAGTTTTTATCAGTTTGGGAACCAATTACAATAGTCTTTTTTCAGTGACCATTCAAAGTTATGGTAATGATGAATAAAGGGATTTACAACTGTGCGTCATACTCATGGTCATCGCAGTGTCCCACGGTCATGTGATCATGATTGGAGTACTTGGCAACCAGCTTGCAATTCCAATGATCACAGCATTTGTAACTTTCATTGCTAACTTCCACCAAGGAAAGTCAATGGAGAAGCTGGCAGGAAGCCGCAAATGGCCGCGGGATGCTGCAACCACGTGGGAGTTATCTAATGAAAGCAATTGGAACTGCTGAAACTGTGCTTATTAAGTCAACATGGTCATGAGTTGCCAGTCCCAATTACATCATTAAGGGAGGACCATCTGTTCTATAATACTATTCTGTCATTAGATGAACGTAACTGGAAGCAATAAAAGATCTTAATTTTTGCAGATTTCTCAGTTGAATAGTGTGCAAAAATGCTTAACGGCAAAATAAAAATATTCTTTTAAAATTTCCCTAACAATTACTTTTTTAAAAAAATTTGATTTATATGCCGCCCTTCTCCGGAGACTCAGGGCGGCTTATAATGCGTTAAGCAATAGCCCTCATATTTTTGTATATTTATACAAAGTCAGCTTATTGCCCCCACAAACTGGGTCCTCAATTTATCTACCTTAGAAAGGATGGAAGGCTGAGTCAACCTTGAGCCTGCGGGATTCGATCTTACTTTAATTGCAGACAGCTGGTGTTAAATTACAGAGCTCTGTTGAGCTATTCAGGCTCCTGAATTAACCTGTTTGTAAAGTCTCTAACTATGTGATGCCTCAATTGTACATCATTTGCTACTACAGTCATTAAGAGAGGAATATAGGCAAATCAGTATGTTGTAAACTGAATTTTTAGTAAATTTTAAAATACTATCCACAATTATTTTTGTTTTTGTTTTCCATTTAGATTGAAACTATATTTCAAGTTCTTCATCGTAAGAGATCCTTTTGAGAGGCTTATTTCTGCATTTAAGGATAAATTTGTCCACAATCCTAGATTTGAACCTTGGTATAGACATGAAATTGCTCCTGGAATTATTCGAAAATATAGAAAGAATCGCACTGAGACTAAAGGACTGCAGTTTGAGGACTTTGTGCGCTACCTAGGTGATCCAAATCATCGATGGTTAGATATACAATTTGGAGATCATATAATTCATTGGGTAACCTATGTTGAACTATGTGCCCCCTGTGAAATAACATATAGCGTAATTGGACATCATGAAACTTTGGAGGAAGATGCACCATACATCTTAAAGGAAGCAGGAATTGATCATCTGGTATCTTATCCTACAATTCCTCCAGGCATAACGATATATAACAAAACAAAAGTGGAACACTATTTTTCAGGCATAAGCAAGAGAGACATAAAGCGCCTTTATGCCCGCTTTGAAGGAGATTTTAACCTTTTTGGCTATCAAGAACCAGATTTTCTACTAAACTAGTATCTAGAAATTCTGGGTAAATGAATTTAAATCTTAACTGTAAACTGTGTAACTGAGGCTCATATTATTGCAATGTTTCTAGATTTTTCCAAATGTTCTTTGCATTTGTTGAATATTTGCAATAGGAGCCACAAAGGACTGCCAATTAGTCACTAAAAAAGTATTACTACATGACACTGCGATAAAGCAGAGAAAAAATTACTAAGATAGTAAATGTCAGACATTCCTTTTTTCTTTAGCCAATAGAGAATGAATGGACCAATAATCTGTAAAGAAACTTGATATGAATACAAAACAAAACATTTAGAAAGGACAGGAAATAACATGTCAATGGTTTTACAAATCTATGGAGGCCAAGCTGATTGGTAAGTATTGTATAACTTAAGGAAAAGACTCCAGATCCTACCATGGAATCAATCTGAAAGTCCTTTTGCTGTAGTCTTATGATGGTTGCTTACTGTTACTCATTCAGGAAATAACAGTTGCACAAATTTTAATTTGTAAACTCTGAGTTATTATGAGGTGAAAAATCTTTTGCAAGATAGCTATGGACTCCACTGAAGAAATTTTAGAGAACACTAAAAAAATGATTTTTCATTTGCTTTGTAACCTTAAATAAATACCAGTACAGTATTGACTGTGTAATTTACCAGGATCATTAAGTCTATGCATTTTGCTATGATCTGCTAATCCTACCCCCCCAGTGGTGCTATTATAAAGTTGTCACAATGAATGGGATCAATGTTCCATTGAAACCTAGCATCTTATTTTTGGGGTTTCTTAGTTTAAGAAATAACCATACATATAGATGAGGCAGCAAGCTGCCATAAGGTATATTTATTTCATGTGTAATATGTTATGTGAGTCATTTTTGATCTATCAAATCTTGATATTATAAAACAGATTACAAAATTGACAAGCAGGTGCCTATTGGTATAAACATGTACCATGTTGCATCAACACTCATAATGAGGCATAATTCCATCCCTATGCCCAATAGTTTATGTGGAGTTTTCACAACTGGCCACTGGGTTTGTTTATTTCAAGTTCATAAAATTAATAAATTACCGGTATCCTTCCTACCAAAATAGTTAATTTTTCCAAATGAGTTTCTTTTCATACTTTCACAGCAGAATTTGCCATATAAAATTATCAATGACTAAACAGCCAGCTTAATCCAAAATATTGATGTCTGTGTGAATAATAATCGAAATATTAATATAAAATGTAAATGCCCAGGATTGTAAAAGCATAATATGTGTGTGTTATTTCTGTTGGATGAAGAAAACTTTTTAAATTCACCAGCAATAAAATCTTAAAGTTGATGCCTTTGTTCCCTTGGGTTTTCAGGAGGAACAAACCAGTTAAATTTAGTTAGCAGTACATCATAAATAAATTTGGAGCAATACTTTACATGCTGTAATAAGGTCTTAATGACCTTGGCTAAAATGGTGGAAATGAAGAGAAAATCTATTAAACTGACTATAATTCTTAAGAACTTTTATATTTGTAAACTTTTTAAAAAAATCAGTGCCAAAACTGTTCCTTTCTGTGAAATAAAGACTGTGCTAGTGAGGCCTAATTTCAGAAAGATTCCTAAAAACTGAGCCATTCTACACAATAGAAACAAAGGTAGTGGAATTCTTAATGAGTAGGGGTGGGTTTGTACAACTGCTTTCTACTCTTCTACTTTTACCTGCATGTAAATAAGGCATACAGTAAGTAAGTACTCTCCCAAATTCTACACAGCAAATTTGGTGAGGCGGAATACCTGCGCCTGCAGACAGTATTATATTTGTTAACACATGGTTCTGTTTTACAATTTTTCCATCTCAACTGTAGCAAATCTGGAGAAAACATCAGAACTTTTTCAGGAATTTTTTTTTTTTTAGTCTGGACTCCTGGTGATTAGATGGAGAAGTCTTCGGCAACATTTTTCAGGAGTGATTTACCTTTTCCTTCTTCCTAGGGCTTAGAGTTGCTTTCATGCAGAAGGCAGGATTAGAACTCAATCTCCTGGTTTCTAGCCTGGTGCCTTTAATCAAAACAAATTAGCTCTTCCTCTGTGATTAGAAAAAGCATATAAAATAACCCACATGTAGATTACTGCTATTTTTATTTTGTAATGTGTAGAATGGTTTAAATTTATGTATTGTGAATTATGGGATATTTTTAATGTAGACTTTTTCCTGACAGATACCTGTTCTGTGTAGGAAAATTACATATTAAATTGTTGTGTGCATGAATGGAAAGCTTGTGTGTACATACTGCCACCTATGTACGTACTCACAGCTTTCCTTCACAAAAGTAATCTCTATAAAAATTATTCTATATGAAGCTGACCTTACTATTAGCAAGAAAAAAACAACAAAACTTAAATCTTGTGCTTCTAAAGAAAGGATATTAATAAGATCTCTGACATGGTAAGATTAAAGTTATTTTTATATGAAATGGTAGGAAAAAATATGTTTATTTCAGGATTAATGAGCTGATCAAGTTATTTCTCTGCTGAATTAAAATGGAATATGAGAAATGTGTAGTAAATTAAGGCCTTAAAAACTAGTTCTAATAAAAAAGTGAACCTTCCCTTCCTTCCAATTGTCCAGAATACATTGAGCCATGTCTCTGTTCTCAAAATAAATATGAAATAAAATACAGGTGATTGTATTTATGCTGCAAATATATTTTTTGTAGTGGTTTTTTTTACCTCATAAAAGATGTGGGCAACTTTCAAAATAACATATTTCTCTGCTTCAAGAATGAGAAGGATGCAGATCACAGTCAGTTTATGGATGGCATCCCTTGTCACTCCATCACATCACTTCATACTCAGTCATTGAAATCAATTCTTGGTTTTGTTTTCCCCACTTTTTCCTAAAAAATTCAGCATATGTCTCTTAAATATATTTATTTATTTATTTATTATTTATTTATGTAATTTATATGTCGCCCTTCTCCCGTAGGACTCAGGGCGGCTTACAAAAACAAAACAAAGAATTACATAAACAATTAAAATCAGTTTAAAATTAAATTAAAATCAATTAAAAATTATTAAAATTGTTTGAAGTCACCCCTACGGATTCAGCCCATTTGGTGAAAAAGCCACATCTTCAATTCACGACGGAAGGAGAGGAGGTCCAGGGCTGTCCTGAGGCCGGTGGGCAGCCCATTCCAGAGGGTCGGCACTCCCACAGAGAACGCTCTCCCCCTGGGGGCCACCAGCCAACATTGTCTGGCTGATGGCACCCTGAGGAGGCCCACTCTGTGTGAGCGCACTGGACGGTGGGAGGAAGGCAGGAGATGATCCTGCAGATACCCCGGGCCTAAGCCATGTAGGGCTTTATAGGTGAGCACCAGCACCTTGAAACGAACCCGAAGAGCCACCGGCAGCCAGTGCAGCTTGTGCAGGAGAGGTGTCACATGGGAGTACCGAGAAGCCCCTGTAACAACCTGCACGGCTGCATTCTGGACTAACTGTAGTCTCCGGGTGCATCCCAAGGGCAGCCCCATGTAGAGGGTGTTACAGTAGTCCAACCGAGACGTAACAAGGGCATGAGTGACCATGGCAAGGGCATCCCGATCTAGGAAAGGGTGCAACTGGCGCACAAGGTGTACCTGTGCGAAGGCCCCCCTGGTCACAGCCGTCAAATGATCTTCTAGGGATAGCTGTGAATCCAGGAGAACCTCCAGATTGCGGATCCTTTCTGAGGGAGTAAGGATCTCCCCTCCCATCACTAGTGACGGCACCACTAGATCAAGAGATGCCGGTATCCACAGCCACTCAGTCTTGGATGGGTTGAGTCTGAGTCTGTTTCTTCCCATCCAGGCCCGTACCGCTTCCAGGCAGCGGGACATCACAGAAAGGGCATCCCCAGGGTGATCCGGGGTGGAGATGTAAAGCTGAGTGTCATCAGCATATTGATGGTACCTCACCCCGAAACCATGAATGATCTCACCCAGTGGCTTCATGTAGATGTTAAAGAGCAGAGGGGAGAGAACCGACCCCTGAGGCACCCCACAAGTGAGGGGCCTCGGGGTGGATCTCTCTCCCCCCGTCCACACAAACTGCAAGCGGCCTGAGAGGTAGGAGGAGAAATACCGTAAAATGGTGCCTCCCACCCCCAACCCCACGAGTCGCCACAGTAGGATACCATGGTCGATGGTATCGAAAGCCGCTGAGAGGTCAAGAAGGACCAGGATGGAGGAATAACCCCCATCCCTGGCCCGCCAGAGATCATTTATTAGGGTGACCAATGCCGTTTCCGTGCTGTAACCACGCCTGAAACCTGATTGGTACGGGTCTAGGTAGTCAGTTTCCTCCAGGAACTGTGAGAGCTGCTGTGCCAGCACAGACTCAATAACCTTCGCTATAAAGCGAAGGTTGGAGACTGGATGATAGTTATTAAGGGAGTCTGGATCCAGGGTGGGCTTTTTGAGGATGGGACGAACCACTGCCTCTTTGAGTGTGGCAGGGAAGACCCCTTCCCTCAAAGAAGCTTTGACAACCGCTTGAATCCAGCTTCCATTCACCTCCCTGGCTGCAGAAACGAGCCAGGAGGGACAAGGGTCCAATAAACATGTGGAGGCACCCAGTCGACCCATGATCCTGTCCACTTCATCCATCGAAACAGGCTCAAATTCAACCCAGATGTTACCATCAGGACAGGCCCCTGTCGACTTGTCAGACTCTGCCCAGTCAGAGTCCAACCTAGTCCAAATCTGAGTGATTTTATCTTGCAGAAACTACAAAATCCTCAGCTCTGCCCTGCAAGGGTTCCTCCCTCGCTCCAGGATTGAGGAGAGAGTGGGTCTCTCTAAACAGAGTGGCTGGGTGATTTTCTGCAGATGCAATGAGAGCGGCAAAATATTGGTGCTTTGCCGCTTCCATTGCCACAAGATAAAACCTAATATGGGTTCTTAACTGTGTTCGGTCAGATTCAGATCAGAAGGATCTCCAACCACCCTCCAGGCATCTTCTCCAATGCTTCATTTCCCTGAGCTCCGTGGTGAACCAGGGAGCCACCCGGGATCTGCGTCGGGTCAGAGGCCGCAAAGGCACGATTTGATCCAAGGCCCCTACCACAGCCTGTTCCCAGGCCACAACCAGGGCCTCAGACGAATCGGATAAGGAGGCGGGAAAAGGCCCAAGCTCCGACAGGAATCCTTCCGGGTCCATCAGGCACCTGGGACGGAACAATCTCACTGGTTCCGCCTCCCAGCGGCAGGGGATGATAGAGAGAAAGTCCAGTCTGAGGAGGGAATGATCGGACCATGACAGGGGATAGGTTGACAAGTTTCCCATACCACGATCATTTATCCACTGCCCAGAGAGAAAAACCAGGTCGAGTGTGTGTCCTCCGTTATGAGTTGGGCCCTGTACAACCTGAGTTAGGTCCATGGCCAACATGGAGGCCGTAAACTCCCAGACTGACTCAGATCTCTCCCCGGCCGATGGTAAATTGAAATCTTCCACAACCAGAAGGTTGGGGAGTTCAACCGCCAATTCCACCAGGACATCTAGCAGTGCGGGCAGGGCTGAGGCTACGCAGCTGGGAGATAGGTACATAACCAACAGACCCGACTGAACTCCAGGGTCCCATTTCAGAAGGAGGAACTCACGCCCGCCTATCTGAGGAACAGTGACCTCCCTAGGACTGAGACTTTCCCTAATAACAACCACCAACCCGCCCCTACCCTGGAGTCGCAACTGGTGCAGCACACGGAAGCCTGGGGGACATAAATCGATGAGAGGGACGCCTCCCTCCTGCCCTAACCAGGTCTCCGTAATGCATGCCAGGTCCACGTCCTCCTCAATTAAATCTCGGACGAGGAGGGCCTTGTTCACCACGGACCTGGTATTCAGATACACCAGCCAGAGTCCAGGGCTCCGCACTCCTACATCCCCGGGGAAGCAGGATAAGGCCAGGGGGGTGGAGCACGCCACCGGCTGGATGCAGCAGGGGCGCTCCCCAGATCCCCTTCTCTCACACCCCCTGCCCCTCCCAACCATCACCGGGATCGGAAGACTCTCACTCCACCGATCCTCTTCTTTCCCCTCCCCTCCCCCCTCATTCAATGACATTTAACTAATTTTATATGTTCCTAAATGTTCAGCTGTTAAGACTCAGAACAGCCTTAAACAACTTGACCAGTTTCATATTTATGTTCTATCTTATTTTTATATTTGTATCCTGCTACAATGAATTCATCCATCAATGGCTTACACAGAAACTAAATTTAAAATGAACATTAAGCAAAAATTTTAAAAAGAAAGGTATGGTTCCAAACAGGTTCAAAAGTTCCCTGGAGCAGCTCCATCTATCTTAAAAGAAGGGACTCTGGGATAGCACCTATCTGATATCTACAGGGAAACTGTTTTAGAAGATTACTGCAACTAATCTTGCAGAACCTCGTTTCAACTCTCTTTAGTTCCCAGTGTAGAGGAGTATTTTTTTCCTAGATGATCTAATAAATTGGACCAGTTAGGGTTGGAACAGGTGTCATATCCTAAATAACATTATAGTCAAAACCACCCAGGATCTGATTCATAGCAAGTGAATTTCTTCAAAATCTACATATTACTATCCCAATGGGCAATACACGACACTTCAAATGTAGCTCACCAACAAGTCCCCCATACTATATGCCAAGTTTTTGAGGTGCTGGAACTTAAATTCAATAAATTTCAGAAGACTAGACCTTGCTTATCCTATAGATTCATAGTTGATCAGCAAAGGAAAGTCAAATGTGAAGGATTAAGGCAATTATCAATCTCACATGCTGAGTATTTTTTTGTATCAATGTCCACAATGGAACTATTCCAAGTATTGATGAAACCAGAATATATCTATTTTTGATGTGCCTTTTCCTTAATGCTTTCATCCTGTCTTATGCCATATTAGGTAATTTAATTACCGTAACATGTGCTGGTCTAATTATCTCACCCAATTGTCATCTGTTGTAACTGCTTAAGGCACTCTGCCTATTGTCACCAGAACCAGAATTATAACCATGCTCATCACAGTAGCAGTTTGCCTTGTGGTGAAGAGGCTGTCTTTCCAAAGCAGGCACTTAAAACAGCTGATTTGCTTAAGGCTAAAATGCTATCAAGTGCTTTCTCTACTTTTTTAAACCAATGATGCTGCCTAAGTTTTATTACTAGTAATGGTCAATTAATTTCTTGTTAGTGAACAAAACCACAAAAAATCCTCAAAAGAAAAATTAGCAAGAAAAACTCTTCTGATGAGCTGCAACATTTCAGTGAACTGTAGGATAGAATCAGTTTTAATTATACTTAGAGTAGATCAATTGGGATCAGTAAGACTTGATAGGAGATCTATTTAGCATAATAATGTAATCTGTGTTCAACCCTTCAAGCATTTTGTGGTTTTGGTAATGTCTAAATTGCACACAATAATGCAACAATGTGAAGTGTGCTTCATGTGTTTTTATGGATAGGTCCCATTATGTCCTTTTGAGTCTGTTTCTCCTTTTCCATGCTTTTGTTATGATCAAAAACATGGTTGGCTGTTCCAAGAAAGAAAATCACCTACCTTTCAAAGCTTTTGTAAATTGGATAAGATACTTCTTGCTTTCTAACTTTGATGAATAACTAAGATTACAATTTCAGATCAGATTTTCTTGAGTCTTATTAAAACTAACTGAATGAATACTATATGGGATT